TAACTGCAGAAACAAACTCTATTGACTGCATAAAGCAACCCACGACTTATTCAACTAAAGCTAAAAGACCAATTCAACTCTAATACTCCAACATAGATGATATATATAAACATCTAAATGTTTTTATGATTTTATACGTAAAGAATGGTGGTAAGCGAGGAAGAGATGAATAGTAATTTTATAGTTCGGATTATGTATTGTTTGTTAGCAATATTCTTATGGAGATGCAAGGTATATTGTCCGTTTGTTTTTTTATTAGCTCATTGTTAATATTGGTTGGTCACATTATACTTTTTACAATGTATCCGATTTTTATCTTGAGAAAAAAATCACTTTCAAAGCCAAACGGTGGACAATGGATCATATAGATTGGAAGCAAAATTGCTACACCATTTTGTTCACAAACTTTTATTCCCGCGCATAATACGTGCATTATCTAGTTAATGTAAAAATAGCAAGAAGATGAAATCCTAAAGCGATACCGATCTCACTGTTGATCACACTGTTCATTTATTTGATGTAGGATGTTGAGGATCTCTCTGTGGATCACGAGCCAGATCCAAGCGACGTGACGACATATGAAGTGGAACGAGCCACCACGGCTCTGAAGCCTCGAGTCGAACACCAGAAGAAAATTGTCATGGACAAACTCAAGAAATTTCGGAAGCAATGCTCTCGTGAGGAAAAATACAAGAAAGGTATGTTTGATTTTGGTTGATCTCGTTTACCTGCTTCGTGTTTATGATTATTGAGTTGCTTCGTATTTATGATTATTGAGTTGGTTGGTTTCTATATTTTCAGTTTCAAAGAAGAAGAAACCCTAGAAAGTGAAGGCAATTGTCTCAACCCGGTCCCTGGATTTTTCTCGTCTTTGTCTCAATAACTTGTTTTAGAATCTCAAACTTATTTTGTTTAGTTAGTATGATCTTGGGTTCAGACTTAGTGTTTGTTTATCATATGAACACTAAAATATCGTCGAAATATAAATTTGATAATTTGGTTACATATTGTTTGGTTACATATCACTCATACAACATATCTGATTTGATAATTTGATTTGTCCATTGATGAATCTGACTTTTTTTTTTGGATAAAAACTTTTTTTTTTGGATTTGATTAATAACCTTTTACTAAAAATCTTACAACCTTAGATTTTACCACTAATAAAAACGGATAGAAGTAGTGGTATCAAAATTACTCTTATATCGTTATGGTTTATCACTATTTCATATTTTGTTTTAATTTTGGTATCGCATAATTTTATCGTTAAAA